GTCTGCATCTTAATGTGCATCTGTGAAATGATTTACCTCATCTTCAAACGTATCAAAAAGCTCATTCTAAAGAAGAAGGAACATGACATGCAGAAGTTCGTCGAAAGCCACGAAATGGCCCCTCTCTCACATCCAAGGTCGATGTACAGATCTAAATCCTCAGTAAGAGTGGATCCCACAGTATCTCTTCAGAAACTCAAAAACATCAAGGCTGAAGAAAAGCCTCTTAAGCAAGTGGAGGAAAGCTAGAAGTAAACTGTCCAGAGTGCTTTTGTCAAACTCCATGGAGAGAGGGAGTTCTCCACGTGAGAAAACGCCAGTTGCTTTAAGCAATCTTTTAATGTGGATTTGTAAATAATTTAGATGATATTCTGAAGGACACAATGTGCACCTCTTCTCTCTAAACACGAAGGTCTCCAGTGTGAAAAGATGGTGTGTTTGACTAGTCTTATTTGACTGGTTGTTGTGTTGTGATTGGAATTGTATTCTGGTTGCGCTGACTGTAATATATGTAAAAATAACTACAACACAAACAAATAAATGAATGTGGCCACTGATGAGGATCTAAGCATTGTCTACAACTTTAAATAATATTGAACAACGCTAAGCATTTTCTAGTACAACTGAATGACTCGGTTGGATTTGTCTCAGGTAAATAGTCTTATCACAGCCTTTCATTACAACTGCTTGACAATAAAAGTTAATAATTTTCATGTAGCCGAAAAGTTGTATTTTAATAAACCTATTTTAATCGTGATTTAACAAAGAAATAGTCAAAAAATAGAGTTTTAAAGGGGGATAAAAAAATATACAAGATGATTTGCTGTATATTTTGTATTTATTGATTTTTCCAATAAAGTCGTTTACTGACAAATGAAAAGTTTATTGGAGTTTATTCTTTGTGATAAAACTACATATTTCTTTCGATGAAGAGAAAATCGTCGTTCCGCATTGTCACAAGGTGACATAGTGAGTGACTCATTTAGTAAGTATTGGGTTGGATGTACAGTAGGGAGGGGCTTGTTGTGTTTTTTTCTCTCTCCTTTTTTTCTGTTCGTCTACATTTTTTCTCCCCTTCTTGCGTCCAATCAGAAGCTGATCTCACGGGTGGGGGAGGGGCAAGGTCAGCGTGACAAAACAAACGGACCAATAACACGCGCGGAAAAGCCGGCGCTGTTTTCCATATTGCGGATGTATTTTTGTAGCAGGAAGTGAGGAGTTGTCAAACAAATCATGAGTTTTCACTACGGACAGGTAGGACAGCTTCATGTTTTTCTTTTGTTTCTTGCTATAGTGACATATTTAATGGTGTAATTAGTGGATTGTGTGTTCCGTAGCTTTCGTGTGACCCCGCCAGTTGTTTATGTTACACCACAAACGACTGTTATTCATTTGTTAGCTGAGGGGTTGTTCCTGTCTCGATTGTGCAGTATGTTCAGAAATATAGGCCCACTGTCAGCAAAACTACTCAGCAATAATTTTAATCTATATAGTTTATATGTGTAAGAGTTAAAATGAATGTGATTTCGTAATATTCTAAAAGTTCGAAGTTGGCTTAATAATAAGCTAAACTGCGCGTCCTAATTTGAAACTGTGTGAATCACCCGAGTTTCCGTACATGGCCTCTGGACCCACTTTCTGAATGTTTAAAATGTTTCCTCGGTGTTTCGTGAAATTTAATAGTAGCAAGCCATTAATAGAATCAGTTTCAAGTGGAAAAATGAAAAGATTGTTCTCCACGAGTTAAATTTTTATCCTAAAGAATATGAATTACAACACCTGATTAGCCACTAATTATTAATCTATTTTTTTAATAGTTCCTGATATGTGGTTGATTTTCAACAGCTTTATATTTGGACATTACTTTTCAACAATTTGACAAATAAAGCAAAACCTTTTCTATATTATTATGCGCAGTTATGAAATTGTAAACACCTCAATTATGATTAAATCAGTTCATATAAACAGGGAAATATTTAATTTGGGTTATGCATCAATATTGTTGACCTTGACTGAAATGCATTCCTCCACACACTTATTGGTGCTCTTGTAAATATGTGTGCTTATTCATCCCTTTAGTATCAATGTATTTTTGAATTTTGAAAACAATTTAATGTCTTATCAATAGCAGGATCTAAATTGTGTATCTTGAGAGAACACACAAACTCCACGCAGAAAGACCCCAGGCTGGGATTTTAACCCAGAACCTTGTCGTTGCAAGGTACAAGCGCTACAAGCTGCACCACTGCGCAGCTCAACTTTCATTTTGTTAAATTTAATTAGTAAGAGCACATCATTAATATGTATA